AGACATATATTGTATTTACGATGATAAAACAAAACAAAACAAAAAAAATCAAATGTAAAACAAACAAAAAAAATCTGTTAAATAATGAAAAAAGAAAAAAGCTCATGTCTTCTTGAATGTGCCAACTTTTTGTCAAATGTATACTTTTTTTTGGGAAAAAGCATTACTACTGTTGCACTCTTGTTGTCATGGCAAAACAACAGATAACAAAAAGCACAAAGTGTGTTGGCTGGGTGAAATGGGAGGAGTGGGAGTCGGTGGGGGAGGGGGGTGTGAACGCCAAACCCAGCAGCCCCCGGAAGGAGGCAGCAGCCGGTGAGCTTCTGTTGTCGTCCGTTAAGAATGTCCCAGTTTTTATGTTCTCTTCAGTTTCTCTGCAGCAGTTGTGCCTCCTGCAGAAACGTACAGGCTTTATGAAAGTTTGATTGTAACCCCGCCCACTCCTCCTGCGCCAGTGGTCATGTGACGGGCCGTTTGCTGCAGCTGTGGGAAGCAATTTGCATATAGTCCCTCCAGAAGAAAGAAAAACGATGTATGTGGGCTGACTTTTTTTGTACTATTGTTGTTTTGTAAATGTACAATAAAATACATTTGCTGATCTGAGCTGTTGTCCGCCCTCCCTGCTGGTTCTGGATGTGCATTAACCACAGGTGTGAATGGACACAGGTGTGAATGTCCTTGTGAATCCAGCAGTCGTCAGAATTTTCACCCATCCGTAGTCACAGGTAAAAATGGTTTCAATCATCGTGTTCATATTGGACATCCCTAATAATAACATTCCTGAAATGTCCTGATCAGAGGTATTACAGGACAACGCCACCCTCATTTTTGTCTTCTTACCATCAATGTAAGACTGACTCTGTGACGGGGCAAGAACATCTCCAGGTTAAATCTGAACTGCCATCACTCTAAATGCTCGCACATTAGGCGGGGTAGAAAGAGTGATGAGGTCAGCGTAGAGAGACAGTCAGTCCCTGGTCCAGGAAGGCAAATCAGGGTGCCAATACTGCGCTGTAAATAGATGTCACACTTGTTTGGACATTTGTGACATCACACTATGAACTGCCAAACACACAGGACTGTAGGCCACGGCCATGGCCCCCCGTCTGCTGTGAAGACCTGGACGAGGGACAAAACGCACCATTTGCATGGCCAGGCACAGGAGAGAGGACACAAACAGACAAAGGGAGGAGAGGCAGGAGGAGGGGGACAAGGAAACCATATAAAGAAAAAGAAGAGACGACGATATCAGTGACACGTAGCCATCGCTTATTCTCTGTTTGTACTGGTTTCCCTGGAAACAGCAGAGCAGAAAACACAAAGAGGAGTTGTTTAAAAAAAATTGGCTGACGTTCCCTTCAGCGGAACTTTACAAATCACCAGTAAAGAAGAACATGGTGCACAGTCACACGTTAGCAGAATAGTTATAGAGAGGACTTTGCTCTGAGCCGGTGTGGACGGTGGTGGCATTACACAGAATTTATTGTCAGGTTTATTTTGTCAAAGATGAAGTAGAGGGTTCACATCTATTCATCAGGGGTCACCGCAGTAGTTCTTCACATTGAGATGAAGCACATTTTTCATACTGCCCTCTAGGGTTGGAATTACAGGGGAGCTGAGTGGAGCTGAGCTCCTCCGAAAGCCTACTTTGAGACATTTAGAGTTAGCTCTGAAATATTGTGCATTTGTGTTTGTGTCACAGGTTAAAGACTTTTTCTGTGCAGTCAGGTTAGTAACATGTCAACTTATTTGCCCTTTATTCGCATTAACGAACAAAATGTGGGGTCAGAAATAAACAAAACATAATGCAGTGTCTATTCTGTTGCCATCCATGAGAGGCGCTGTAGGCTACTAAAATCACTGTGTTGCTACATTACTATGTATGGTAATTATATTGCCTTTTTGAATTTCTCTTGACTCGAGTGGTGCAGCAGCCATATTTGAATGCTCTGCAGAGCCTGAGATGGCTGTCCACAGGTGCATGGCTCCTCTGGCAGTCCACAACCCCACCTTTTATTCTGCAGTTTTTGGTCATTTTTGGGCTCAGGGTTCTTTTATATGCTTAAAGAAATGTTAAATAAAAAAATATCAAACATTAAGGTAAACCATCTAACCTTTATCACATTTCTATATATTCGCCCATTTTTACAGTTTAACACTTTTAAAACAGTTTTTAGGTTCAGAGTTCTTTAGGTCTTTGAGTGTCCAGAAAAACTGATAACTAGAAAATATCAGTGTGGGAAAAAAGGGACGATGGCAGTAACAGTGATGTAAAGTGCAGACGCAGGAGCCTAATGTAATGGGTGTTGATGAGGAGAGATGGTGCAGATGGTGCATTAATGTCATGCATTATGTCCACATGGGGGAGGGTGGGGGGTCAGTGTGAGTGTGGGTCTCTAATCTGGTTGACGAGGCCGACAGCAGAGGGAGAGAAACCGTTCCTGTGGTGTGAGGTTTTGTTCCTCGCAGACCGCTGCCTTCTGCCAGATGGGAGCGTGACAGTTTCTGTGACGTATATTATTTTAATAGTCAGAGGAGGAAGATAGACGACGCTGCTGAACTGCTGAGTCAGCCTTTTTATTGGAGCCATGTTACCAAGCATCCAGTAGTAACACAGCATTCACCAGCAGTCTCCCCTGTTATTTCTTTCTTTTTTTACTTCACTGGCTTCCAGTTAACGTTAAGATTGATTTTGGAAATCTTCTAATAACAGTAGCTCCACTATAAAGACCCCCAGATCTGCAGTTAGCAGCTTTTTTTTTAAAAAAAAGATATTGGAACTCGTGAAAATTCTCCTTCCAGAAGTTTTAATCCTCACAAACATTTGTATTTCCCATGCTCTGACTGGAAACTGAAGGCCACATAGGCACCAGTCTCCTGTGTCTCTGAAAGCCGTTGTCTGACCTTTCAAAATAAAATTCAAATCACTGCTTGATACTTACTGTACAATTGCTATTACTACTACTACTACTACTACTTAATGATTCAAATTTGGTTGAAGAGAAATGAGTTCCAAGAAAGGAACGAGGCAAAGTCAAAAAGACTGAATCTTTTAGTTCTTAAAATGTGTCTTTATTGACTTCCCCTCTGTATTTCAAGTCTTTGTGAAAATTTAGATTGTAAAGAAAGAAGTAGTGACAGAAAAGCTACGTTAAAAAAGTGTTGTGCACATTTCCTACAAAAAAAGTGTGTTTTGGTTCAAACCCACTCACTGAAAGGCAGCAGCAACTACTGCATCACCCTGCAGCCCAGACTGCAAAACTGTTCACTTCCACATCACATATTTTACAGCTCACTTAAGGGATTGGGGAAAAAATAAGACTTGTTTTTTTTTCTCATTTTCTTGTGGTAATAAATTTGTCTAAATTGGTCTAAAATCTTATTTTTCTGTAAATTTGAACTTTATTGTAAAGCCTATATACAAGAACTACAGTTAGAATAACACCGAGGAGCTTTTATACTGGGAGCAATATCTTTATCTTTCTTTTTTGTTTTTATTGGCTTTTATTGCAAACCCTTTAACAGCAGCATCTCTAGAACGTGCATTATATATAAGGCAGTCTGATGATAACTGTTAGATATGGTTCATTAGTGCAACCGTTGTAGCAACTTTTGCAGCCGTCTCAAAACTTTCAGCATCTTCCGGGCGCTCGGCCCTTCATTTAAATAAAGAGATGCTGCTGCCGTCCTGTTTGGTTCTTTTTCTTCTAATGCCTCAGTCCTCCACAAGCCTCACTCTGCAGTGTGTGTGTGTGCTGCACACACACAAAGAAGCATGAAACTGCAGAGTATTTTCTACTAGCAGAGAATCATCTCCCACCTCAACCCCCAAACAGCAGCACTGTAAACCTGAGACGAAGCGTGCACTACCCTGCAGTGCTCTACAGATGTTCACTGAGAGAACACACACACACACACACACACACACAGGCCTCCTGTAACTCACAGGCTCAGACTCACTCACACAGCAACACATGGACATGAATGAATGGCCCGGGGTGTAGTTCTGTTCTCAGAGCTGTGTGATCAGCTCAAAGTTACATGGGGAAAAAAAAGAAGAAAAAAATCACTGCAGCTCCAGTCCTGTTCACATAAAAAGATGACTGAGGCAACAGCAGGGTGAAACGTTAACAAAATAAATAAAATCTTGTTGATTTTATTTACAAGATTAGATACTAATGCTTGTTTGGCTTTTTTTTTTTTAGATTAAATTCAAATCTGTAATATATCAGTAGACATTTCATTTCAACACTGAAGTTTTATTTATCTCAGCGAGTACATGGTGGATACGGTGAATTTCATTTATGGATGGTGTTGTTAATCATCTTGTACATATAGTACTCGACTATAAAGTCTTGTTCGCTCATTCTGATATAGAAGACAGCTCTGTTTACTCTTCCATCTCTTCCTTTTTTATTACTTTATTACTTTTTTTTATTATTTTATTACAATTGTAGAGGACAATAAAGGATTCAACACCACACTTTCCCTGTGGTCTTGTATCTGTGGCAATAGTTTTTCAGCGTAGTTTCTGTTTTCCAACATATTTTGCAATGTAAATGTAAATATGTAGTTGTATGTCAGTTCTGACTTACAACAAAAATGTTATGTCGCTGCTAAGAACTGGACGCTTACACGGTGGAGGACCACCTGTATATCCTTTCGTTGTTTTTTCTTTATTTGAGTGTTTTCTCTTGCTCTCTCTGACTCTTTGGCTCAAACTCCCCCTGGTGGTCAAAGATTTAAAAGGAAGGATGGTTGGATGGATGGATGGATGGATAGGTCTAAGTTTTAATTGGCAGCTTTGTCATGCCTCACATGCGCCCCCTACATTCTGGTAGTCCACACTAGGTCATTACACATTCAGAATTAGTGGATTTGGTGAATTCATCCCATTACACTTACACATTATATTAAAAAATTACAGGACCACAAATAAGATCAGAGGACAACAGGTACGACGATGGGCAGATTGACGTTGCTGACCTTCTACGACGTGACCTGACAGCCCTCAGCCTTTACATGCCCCCCTTAGTTTTCCTCTAAACTCTCAGCTCGCCCTCCTCTTCTACTTCAGCCTGCTATAAATCACCCCACTCAGTCATTACGCCGGTGTCAGGTCTGATACGCCCACAGGGCTCTGAAGGCAGAGGGCCGTCGGGCCGGGAGTGGAGACAGACACAGAGACAGAGACGGAGACAGAGATGATGAAGGGAGGGGATGGTATCATTCAAGGCACCGTCCCTCATTACAAAATGCAACACACCAATTTCCATGTTAATTTGTTTAGTGACAGCAGAGATCGATGTCTGTGACTTTTCTGGTTGGTGTGATGCATACACACAGAGGCTATAATGAAGCCATTATGTAAGCAGCAAGGTCAGTGCCTGTAGATGCTAAATGATTTAGCAGCCCGTTGACGAACAACGCGTTTAGCATTTAAGTGATGTTAAACAATTATCAATATTTCATTATCTTACGTGTGGATGTCTTTCAAGATCCGCTGGAAGGATGGTCGTAAAACTAAACCCATTATGGAAATCACCCAGTGTTAGCCTTACTGCTTTAGCATGTTTTGCTACAGCAGGAGTCCATTAGACATAGTCAACCTGGAAAGGTATTGTCTCTGAGGAAAGGACTCTGACATCTGAGTAAAACTTGTTTCCTGGTATACTGTTGCTAATTTTTTAGAAAGTTAGGGTTGCAGTACGATGCCAAAATATCAATCAAAACCATGAAACGGAAAGGCTTTATTCGACTGGACAGGACCGTCAGATCCTATTTGGTATAACCGTGCAGTGCAGCTCATTTCAGCAGACATTTGAGTCTGTGCTCGTGAATGTCTGTTATTAACAAACCTTTTCATGCAGATATTTAAGTGGAGCGCTGCCATTTGGCACACTCACATCAGAGTAGATGACAGTCTCTAATGAGATTCTACAGTGACTTGATGGCTCTTATCATACAAAGGGGAGAGGGGGTCGTGAGCCAATGATAATAGTAATATGAAATATGAATTATATTGGTAATATCGGAAAAATTTTGAATTGGCCTTCACATCAGAAATAAAGTGGTTTGAGGTTTTCTGGAAGTCTGCCCATGTTTATTTCTTGGACCAAAGAGTGGTTGTTTGGTCTGCAGTCCATGTCCTGCATTCATTCTAAATTAAATGAATTGCACCGAGGTGTAAAAGGCTCTAGAGATCGTTTCAGTTCAATTATTTCAGTAGGAGACGGAGATATCTTCTGAATTTAAACCGTGGTTGCTTCACTACCTTCTGTCAGTATCACTACTGCAGCTTCTGCTGCGTTATAGGCAGACAGGTGTGACGTGTCCTGACGGTCACAGTTAATGGTTTAAAGCTGATAGGTCATTTTTAACAGGAATAAATTATTCCTTTTTACGCTCAGACTGATGACAGTTATTGTATCAATATTTAACACAACTGTGGTCTTGGTCATGGACACTTCCAGAAATGAGCAGATCTGAGCAATTGCTAATTTTGATCAGTTTGCAGTAAATTGTGGAGGTAAGACAAATGATGTTCTGACAAAGGTCAGGGAGAGGGTTGGTGGACCAAGGATGAGGCAAAAAAAATCTTATGTAATGGAGGCAGATGGTGTACCATAGCAACTGAGCAAAAGTTTTGTTTGTTTGTTTGTTTGTTCCAGTAGACTGAACAGTGATTTTGGTCAAACTGTAAACATTTAAAGAGAAACATAGCGCCCTCTAGCAGCAACAGTGGTATAAACATTGAAACGGTGATGAATCTAAAAACCTGGGCTCAATCCTCCAATAAAAGTGCTAATGTGCAAACGCATGTGTAACAGCGTGTGTGTGTGGGTGTGTTAGGGTGGTCAGCTAGCCCTGAGTGACTGACAGGACAATAATGAAAAAGATCAGCCATATGGGTGTCATTGATTCCCAGTTAACAGAATGATTACTACTTTAGTATGCAGCACCAGCGCTAAGCAGAGCTGTCAGTGGGTGTGAGACCTGCTGCCTGTGTGAACACGGACAGGCAGACAGTGGCTGTAATCACACTAACCGGAGCCCCAGTGACTTCTGTTAGCATGTATCAAATCACCGTGCGGTGACGGGAGTGTCCACACCTCTCTGTGAGCGTATTCAGGGGATGGAGCAGGTTGTCCTACGACAGAACATGTCTGATTCAATTTCAGGCTCTGCTGGTCTACATGCCAGTGTGTACCAGGGCAAGACCTACATCTGTGTGGGCCTGAATTAAAGAAGAGCCTGACATATGCACTGCAGGAGAGTCGAGGTGCATTGGTGTCAGTCTGTGATTGGACTTTGGTCGGTCCTCTGGACCTGAAAAGTACTATACAAGTACTGGTCTTACGCATTTGGTGCATTTAGCTGAAATACTGTATTAATATCTGTTGCTTTTATGGTCTGTCTAATCTTTGCTTGTTTCCATAGATACCATTAAATTTGATTATTATTAAAAAAGAGTAAAGTCATGTGACCAAACTGAACTATGACAGTCTTGAAATTGTTTCATGAGCATGAGCACACATCTCAACACAGAGACGCACACACACACACCTCCACACGTAATGTTATGTCTGGTTAGAAGGACTGTAATTATCTGTTTTGTAAAATCATAGACTACAGGAAAGACATTCAGTGTATCTACATGTGAATGTGTGTGCGTGAAGGTGGATTAGCTGCACTTGTGGGGACATTTTTGGCCAAAATACGTCCTAAGACATTTAACAGGCGGAATTTAACAATACGTTTGAATTTTGTGTTAGTTAAGTTCAGGGGAAACAGCTCGAGGAACAAAATCTGAAATACTAAAAAGAAAAAAGAATGTGTGTATGTGGGTTTATACTTTACACATAAAGTCCACTATGGGTCATTGCCTCACCGACATGCTACATAGAAATTTTTTCTTTTGGCATTATTTTAATATCTGCCTTGAAGTCTGTGTGTATTATACCGTACTCTATGTACTGCACTGTACTGCACTGTACTGTACTGTACTGCCTTTGTGTTTGAATATGAACTAAAAAGACAGGTAGATGTTATGGATGGAACTCCACTCCTGTGAGTCTGTGTGGTCCGGCTGTTGAGTGTTGTGGTGTGTTGTTTAATGGAGATGAGGGCTTCATGGAAACATATGCCCTTCAGTGAAAAAACGACAGATGAAGGATAATCCCTTTGAACACACACACAGATAAACACATATAAACACTTTCATAGCAGTACAGTATAAATTGTCCTAGGAAAAGTACCTTTTCATTTAAGGAAAACTCAACACTGTCAGAAAATCACACTGACTGCCCTGATATTAAGGACATAAAACACTGACTTCTTAATATAAGAAAAAGAGAATTCTCCCTTTCATATTTTGAAAAGAAAAACGAAATAATAAGCCCTTGTACCTCACATCATGCCCCCCCCTCCCCCAGCTCCAGTAATTATGGAGCACTTTGTGGTTTTTATTACTCCACACATAAACTGTGTGGAATAATTGTGGCTTGTCTGCTGCCGTGCAGCTTAAACTTTCAAACAGACAGGGAAGTGATGTTCAGCTGGACACTCTCCAGCTCATCTGACCCCAGTAACCCAGATACCAGTCAAAGATTACTTTGGAAACAGAGCGTGTTGTGCTACCAAGTCATTGAGGAAATCACATTAGATTTAGTGTAAGAGCATCTGTCGCTGCTGCAGCTTTTCCTACTTAGTAATCGCACAACGCAGATAATATTTGACTCCACTATCAATACAAATGCGACCACGGAACCTCTTGTTCAGATTCCCTTCTGGTTACACACACCAACACTCCTGTTGGTTCTGTAATAACACAGCATTCATTAGGCTTTAATTATTCTATCCACTGGCCTTGTAATAAGGAGTTGTTATCATGGCCCACAGTGTTGTATTTCTTGGTTAGTCAAGCCAAACAGATGGAATCTAAACATCACCTTCATGCTCTACGTTGCCATTACGAACAGCAGTGTCAATTAAAAGGCAACCCACGGGACGCAGAGCGACACTGCATGAAATTCCAAGATAATTCACTTCCTTGGCTTCACTTCCTCCAGTGCCCTGCAGCCAAGTGGAAAAACCCTGTGCGGGAAAATGCAAACACATCCTGTAGGGTGGTCCAGCCATCATGGGTCGTTGCTCTTTAGATTTTTAGAACTTCCAACCTGCAAGATGCAAGAATCCTGTTTAGTCCTTATAAGGGTTTTTTGTCGTAATTTGTAAAAAAACAAAACTAATCAGGGCTGGGAACTTTATCATTAAAGTACAAAGTCTTTCCCCATTAAGGTTGGTTCTCCTTCATAAAATGCAAATAAAAAGACCTTTTTATTAAAACATTATCTGAATTATCTGAATAACCTGGGATTTAAAACAATAAAATTTGGTCCATATTGTTTGCCATTAATCACTGAATGCTAGTTATCTGGATAGCGATACTTGCATGTTGACCTTACTAAATGAAAAACTCATTAAACTGTTACTTATGTTACCTTTGCAGTCGTAGGTTGTTTTGGCCTCTGTTGGCTGAGAGAGAGTTATGCAACAAGGTGTTTTAATTTCCAAAAGTTTTTTTTATTTAAGAGTGTAGAAACATCTTTAATGTCAGCAGAAAAATCCTTATAAAATTCAAAGCTAAAGTTAGTAAAATTATATACGTAGATCATAAAGATATTTAGATGTAGAAAAACAGCAAGCATGCACAATTTTAACTAAACACTGAGAACTTCAATAAAATAAAATAAAATATTCTTCACTAAAATTCACATCATAATCTACGGTGTGTTTTAACAGTAAAATATCTTGAACTACTATATTTAATGGTTATGCTAAGTTGGCATAACAGTAGAAGGTGGACAGGAAGTGTAAAAAGAAAAGGTCATTTCACAGTAAAACTTCAGAAACTTGTCAGAATGTGAAACAGCAGGTCTGTTCCTGTGAGCGCTTAAATAAAATCTGTTGAACTGCTGCATATGTACACTGCTCCAGTGAATCAGTCTGTACAAAATCACCATACTGCTGTGTGTACGTGCACAATAAAGACGACAGCACTACAGCGACGCCGTACGTATTTTGCGTAATGGACCTCTCACTGTCTCGCATCCTGGCCTTTTCAAAATAATACTGCGTGAAGGCATCCTGAGGGAATTGTCTCATTATTTCCTTCTCTAATGAGAAAAACAAAACTGCCGCAACTCAGCAAAAGTCATCGGAAGGATGCAGAGCAGCAGACGGACCGTCCTGACGTAAAACTGAGAAAGATATAAGAGACGCATCACAGCAGACGTGGCAGCTCCTGACAGAGGGGTTTCAGACATCAAAGAGTTAGCTCCAATTATATTTCCAGTCCATCTATATCTCTGGTATATAACTGTACATCTGAGTTACTCAGACCTCAGCACTGTTTTCAGAACTTTCTTGAAAGTAAAAGAAAAAAAAGTTAAAATTAAACAGTTGGGCTCTCTGGCACCTCTGACACCGCTGTGAGGTGTTTCCAAAGTTCAGAAGATTCACTTGTGTTGTCTCCCTCATTATCCGTGAGCACAGTCCCTAAGTGTTGAAAGGTTTGGTACTTCTGTCAGAGTAGTGGGCTCTGTACTGGGCCGCCATTTCCTCCACCCAGGCCATGTTCCAGTCCCAAACAGGCTCTGGCTCCCCGTACGACTCGCCCTCTGTGTGAAACGGTGGGTACAGGATGCTGAGTGGGGACGCCGGTGGAGAAAAGTCTGAACATAAAAGAGGAGGACATGATGACATGCATTCTAATATTAAGGAGACAGAGTTCTTTCTCTGTTTAAAAGAGAAAAAAGCATTTTTGCCTTTGGAGGCACACTTTTCATGCTGCTCGACTCTGAGGAGAAGCTAATTTTGTATGTGCTTTGAAGCAGCTGTCCGCCTGTGAAAATAAAACTATTCAAATATCTGTCAGGCAGCAGGTAGAAGTCACGGTGCCACCTCACTCCAGCCGCGCCCTGGGTTCTAATGTACTTTAAAAGACCTCAGAGAATGTTGTTCTCCGTGAGTAATGGCAGTTTGTCCGAGGCAGAGAAACTGAAGCTATAATGAGTGTGCCAGTGAAAATATATATTATACAATGTGGCCCAGTGAATCATGCCAGCCCGCTGTTTTTATATCCTTCTAGTCAGCACTGTTTTTATCCTTTAACCCAGGTCTAAGGACATAAACTTTTAGCCTCAGTTTGCAGGAATTTAGCTGAAATGAGAAGATAAATATTACTCTTCCTGAGACATTTAACAGACAGTCTTTTTATACTTAAACTCTGAACAATCTTTCTCTCTTCATTTTGAGATGGAAAAAAAGGTTGGGAAAATTCATCTGCAAGTTATCGACACTTACTGTACCAAAGTTGATACTACCACATCAAGAACAACAACAACAACTACTCCTACTACAACTACTACTACTACTACTACTACAATTACTAGTACTACTTTCACTGGTGCTACTATTGTATGATATTCATGGTTTTACCACTCTAAGGATCCTTAGTGTTAGCGTTACATGGACTCATTCTTCTGCTGGATGCGGCTTTGAACTGCCCCTGTAACCAGGTAACCAGATGTGTGTATAAAAAATTAGGCCTGTCAAACAATTGAATGTTTAATCCGATTAATAACAAGGGAATTAGAATAAATTAATTCTGATTAAATTAGATTCAACAATGTAAGAAAAGAGTTTCTATTGGGCTGTCAAATGATTCCAATTTGAAATCTGATTATAGAGGAGTAACTGTGGATTGATCACGATTGATTGTGATTAATTGTGATCGTAATGATTAATCATACATCATACATTTAACGTAGCTGATAGTTTTAGTTTCATCCACTGATGTGGTTGCCGTGCAGAAAAGTTGTTCCTTTTTCTTCTGTGTAAACCAACGACTGGCAGACACAACAACACTGACGGGTGAAATAACTGCACCAAAAGAAATGACCCAATGCTTGAAGTCCTCCAGACTGAATTAGAAGCTATGGAGAGATGAGAGATGCACAGGGGCTTTGGTTCCAGTGCAGTGCTGTGTGGTGAAGAATAGTAGAAGGACATGACAGAAAAAGAAAGATGGGTAAACAGTTCTTTTTTCTTTCTTTTTTTTCTTAAAGAAAAGCCTGATGGTACCTTCCGGGGAGAGTGGGTGACGGATGAAGTGACAGAGCAGAAAGGATGACTCATCTGTGACTTCAATTTACTGAAAGGCCCTAAGTAATTGCCTTGTTCCACCTTAGATATTAGATTCAGTGTCTGTTTCCTGAAGCAACAGACAACACACACAGAGAAGGCGTTAGTGTGTAACCTCCAAACTACAACGAACTCTTTCATTTTCCAACAGCGACGACAGGGAGAGTAACACAGAATAAACTTGATGTGTCATGAGTTTGTCATGATGTGATATCCGGCTTTTCCCACTGGCCTGTACAGACAACAGGCTCAGTAGTGCCCGTCGAAAGCGTTTTAGGATAGGGCGCCATCTAGTGGAAATATACTGTACACACAGCAGGGCAGACTTCCTTTTTGATGTTTTTCTTAATATTTATGTTGTATCAAACAAAATCAATCAGATTTTGTGTTGCATCAAACTGGTATATCAAGGCTTTCTACAGTAGATGCCCCATGTTGGCGACTTGGGTGATTTGATTGGATGCATTTGATGTAGATTATGTCACAGCTGTGGTTGAATTGTGTTTTGTGGTTTTGTTGCTTCAGTAATGGTGGTATTGTGGCTTACATGAGTTATCTGAGATATAAAGACTTGTTTTACTCCATTTCTGCCTATTATTGATGGCTTCCATAAACATAATGAGATTATTAGGATGTGCATTTGTTCACAAAGGACGCCACTGAAGGCCTGAATGAGAAGTGCATTGTATGCCACTGGGATATACTGTATGATGAATAGTAATTATCCTTACCACAGGGATTTTGTGAACTTATATTTAAAATAGACACTTGACAAGTGGAACATTGTGCCCACTGTCCATTTCCTATATCTGGTCTATGTTTTGGATGTATAAAATACAGAAAAGCACTGGCTGATCCTCTGCTCACCTGACAGAGAGGCTCCACTCATACTTTCTGCTGCCACAGCTAACAACCGTGCGAAGTTAGCGCTGTCGTTGGTGTAGCAGCTGTCCACTGAGCTGATGAGGCTGGTGCGGGCACTGGCCATGTTGGTGTCAGAGACTGAGCTCCAGGTGTTCCACAGTGAGCTGTCCCAATCGCTGTAGCAGGAAGACGGTGTGCTCTGCAGGCGGCCACGCTGCAGACTGGTGGACGGAGTTTCATCTAGAGCAAAATCTTCCTCCAGCTGAGAGGCACGTGCTGGCCTGTACATGTAGTCCAGATGTGGAGAGAAGGCACTGGACAGGAAGGGCCGCTGCTCTGGCAAAACACTGTTGGCAGAGTGTAATGATTTGTTTGGCTTTCTTCTTTGGCTTCTTCTTTTAGCTGCTAAGTCGTAGTATCTACAGAAACTTCCTGCCTCCACTATTCCTTATCTCCACAACTACCCACCTTTATTTTATTACTCAGATATATGAGTGGTTCTAATACATGTACAATGGAATCATGCCTCCATAGAACATCATATTATCTGAACTGGACACACACACACACTGTCACACTCCACCTGCATCTCTCTGGTTTGGGGCTGAGCTCCAGATACTGCGTGGCTTCCTGTGCCGTCAGTGTGCCGTCATGCTCCTTTTCTAATGACATGGAATACGGTGCTGCAGACTGATGGCTGTGGGAGGGGCATTTGTTACTACTGTTAAAATGACCTGGTTGCCCATGTTGGCCAGATCCAGCAGACACAGACTGGAGGGAGCCCATGTCCAGTGTGATCTTTGTGGAACCACTGGATCTAAAGAAAGTACAGGTGTAGAGATTAGAAATAAACCTCTGGAATAATCAATGTTTGATTGTCAATCAACAATAATTAAACTAAATCTATTTGTTATATCATGTTATATATCATGTTATGTATCATTATACTATTTTACAATAGAGTATGACATAACATTGAGTTATTTTAGAAAAGGAGCAAACAAACAAGCTGACATTTTTACACTCTCTGAACAGGCGTTATTAACAAAAAGGATGTCATCTGACAGTTTCTGGCCCGGGGCCTGTGTGTTACAGACTTTATTGAACTACTTGTTCATCTGATCTGTATGATTCTTCATAGGAAAAAAACCACATTAGTTGTGCAGCTACAAGTGTGATGTTTTTCTTTGCTGTTGTTTACACAGGCAGAGCTGTGTTTGCCTCACCCCTCATCTGAGGACAGGCTGTGTGCATCTGTGATGTGGTCTGTGGACATCTGTCCTGGTGGAGGCAGCATGTCCACCAGGTGAAGTGATGCAGAGTAGTGCAGCAGACGAGGACAACCGGTGACTTCAGCACATTCAGGATGTCCACCTGAATAAATGGATGTAATGAAGCAGATGGTTTTATTTGATTATTCTAATGACATACATGAGGCACAACTTCTTTAATATGAGTAAGAGGGCAGGAGAGGAAAAGATTCTGTCCACACCATATCGGCCTGGAGGGATGTGACTGAGTCTCTGTTTGTAGATACCGGGTGGACAGACCTGGTTTCTGGTTTGTACTATGGGGACACTATTGACTGCATGCAACTCTGAAGAAAATGGAAAAGGGGAGTTAAGTGGTGACCACCTCATTTGGAGCCAATAGACAAAAAACAAACATAATTTCTGCTCTATGATCTAAACTGCAGACCTGGAGTTTTTAAGGGATCCTTGAATATATGTCAATAACCAAAATACACAAACAAATGTGGCAAAATAGAACAGGGACATACAGTTATATATTCACTATAACTAGAACTGAATTATTTCTAAACTATAATAATCTCCTCCATCCACCAAACTCACCCTGCTTGCTGTAGATTTTTTCCTTCGACTCTCTCAGCACACCCATCTTGGGCTGTGGACGTATGCCCTGTTTCCACGGCAGCATCTCTTGGCTTCCAAGGGGGGAGCTCTTACCAACAGGTTGGGAGAATATCTTGATGGTCTCGACTCCTTGCTGATATGGCAAGTGACTGTGAGACACTTTAGGGCGGCACCCAGGACTGTTAAATGTCTTGAGACCATTAGTCGTCAGGTCCACGTAAAAAGTACCATAGACTCCGCAGCTATCGGTCACAATAGGTACGATGTGGTCCGCACAGGCTGGGTCTTTCTTGGATGAGATGGGCAGGCCTGAGGACAATGACAGCATCAACAGAGAAGGACACGTGCTGTGAAATGTCAGCTGTCATTTACTTTTATTTACATGTTTTTCTGCACAGTCCTTTGTCACAGTTTCTCCGTTTATTTCAAAACATGGTGAAAATTTCTGACTTGAAGATGACTGGAGTTTTTAATCCACATCTTTAACACTTTACAACTTCTTGTTTAGAAATTAAGTGATTTTTTTCCATTAGTCATTGATACCAGTATTTACTAGGACATTATGGATGTCCATAATCATTTCAGAATGGTCAGGTTTACACTCACTGGTGCTCCTCATGCCAGGGTGCTTCTGACCTTGTGCCCATAAATCCTGGTATTTCTGACCAAAGGCAGGTCTCCAGGTTCCAGAGATCCATGGAGAGTCTGGAGCTGCCATCCTTTAAACAGACAATAAAATGTCACAACATTAGAAACTAACATCCATTAACAAATAAGACTGTGTGATCAGGTTAGGTTTATCTAAATTTTGCATTGCACTCATCAGCTACTATTTTAGAAACAACTGTTCATCTGCTTATTATTAATACTGATTTCTAACCAGCCAATCCTATGGCAGCAACTTGATGCTTTTTGTTTTGAGACATTGCCAAGTAACCAGCTGAAGATCAGAATAGTAAAAAAAAAAAGATTTATCATTTTGAACATGACCTGTTTGACCAAAAAGTCTCTGGGATACGTAATATAGAAACTGTAGAAAATCTTAATCAACCCACTTCTAGTGAGATGTATTTAATGAACTGGCCAATGAGTTGGTTATTAGCCTCAGAGCCACTTCTCTAAGCTTTACCTGTGTTTAATAACGAGATCTTCATTAGCCAGTCTATGCAAACCTGAAGAAAAAAACAGAGAGAAACATATTGAGAACACAATGTTTTGTTTTGTTTTTTTCTGTTAAATCAATATAAAAATGATGCAAGGCTCACCTTTCCCTTTGCTATGTCTTGGTATTAAGTGGCCTGTTCTGCTGTGGCGTCTGAAGAGGTAGATGGCTGCAACCATGAGTATACACCACAGGAGGGCGCCAATAACGCCAATCAACACAGGATCCTGAAGTAGAGCCAAGACCTGGGGTAAAGGTCGTCTTTGGTTTTCTGACTCGATACTAGGCCCTCTCTGTGAGTCTGACATACACACAAAACAATATGAGGAAATAATTTATAAAAAGTCAATGATGATGTTCAGTTAATTCAGGCTTAAGTCTGTGATGGACTTGCGGAGGCTATCTAACACTTAAAAATGCTCACTGATGATAAATCCATGAGGGTCACTCTGCAGTCCAACTCCAGCACCGTTGACAGCAGCTATAGTGAGCCAGTAATGTTTCCCTGGTTTCAGAGCCGTAATATCAAGGCTGTGTTGTCCACTGTCCACTGTCCAGTTCTGATACTGCTGCTTGTCGGACTCTAAACACCAAACCTGAGTGGAGAACAGATTCCATTTCCTGGTTAAATAATCTATGCCCTCAGAATATTCAGAGGGGAGTGAAGGTAAAAATGTTAAATTATAGAACACACAGTGATACTACACCTGAGAGCCAGTAACTATAAAGCAGTGCTGTTGTCAGTGTATTACCTGATAACCATGGATGATACCATTATGAGTTTCATATGGAGGAGGCTCCCAGCTGAGATGAATGGTGTTATTCTGTTCATGCCTCACTGTTATGGACACAGCCAGTGGGGGGGCACTGGGAACTGCACAGTAAAGATGGTTTATGTTATTATACTCATATGACAGCACATGTATGTATATATATAAATATATATATATATATATACCTAAATATATTTAAGTTAGCAGTAATGTTGATTGGAAATCAAATAATTTCCTATAACTGTATCTTTTCTCACTTGTCTCTGGCACTCTGAGGTGACGGGTGTTGCTCTCCCTTCCATACAAGTTGCCTCCATAGGGACGGACTTTGAACTCGTACTTATAACCTCTCTTTAAAGGCCCCACCTGAGTTTGGAAGCTGGGCAGGGTCACTTTCTTGGCTGCCCACTCTGAACTAGCAGGCAGGAGGGAGCGATAGAGAACCTCAAAGCCATCGAGGTAATGTGGCTGGACAGTAAGATACTGGAGCTGGTCATAGAGAAAAAAAAAACAGATTCTTTACATTTATTCATCCACTGTACACTGCTGAAATTTTAATGTCTCTGAGAAACACTAAGCTTTTCTATACCTTCCATTGTACCAGGGACATGCTGGACCCAGGGGTCATGATGGTGACATTATCCAGAGCCACCCGCAGGGCAGACAGCTCTTTGTGAAGGTCTTTTTGTTTAGTGTTGGCCACCTCTGGGAAAAGTGATTTATACGTTAAAATTGTTTAAACTTTAAATTTAAGCAGCTGGAAAGTCACTGTGTGAGTTTCTGCCAAAACCTGGATACTTGGAAACATGGATTCATTTTTTTCTGCCTTCTCAACTCATGTTTTTCTATTGCTTATGCTCAGCACTACATCAACATCAAGTGCAAAAATATGTGACATTTTCTGACCTTCAACAAGCAGCTGTGCACTGACGGTGACCTCGCCGATGTCATTGGCAGCAGTGCAGATGTATTTTCCAGCGTCTTCCGTCGTGACATAGTGGATCTGAAGAGTCTGGTCTGGGTTTACGAGGTACCTAAGGTTAAACATACAACAAATAACAAATGAAGACTGTATCATTTTAACAATTCTGGGAGTTCATTTGAAAATAAAAACTTCGGTTCCATGAGTCATTGCTGATACGGTGTATTCACTTCACAGTTTGTTCATGTTTTTGTCAGGTGGTAAGTACCTGCCATTGGGCAGTGACCCTTGCTCTCTGCTCCAGTTCACAGACGGCGGAGGGTCACCTTTAGCTTGGCAGTAGAACTGGGCTGACTCCCCCATCCTCACTAACACGTTCTCAGGCTTCAGCATAAAAACAGGCTTGGCTGTGGCAGAGAAACAGATGAGGTTAGGACTGTGCTTTACTCCTCCTGTATTATGTCCTCATTATTTATACTGGCAGCAATTGTATATTTTATATTGTAGTATTTCTCCACCTTCCCTAAAGACACAAAGGCTTTATTTGTAGCCTAATGTACTGAGAAACATTTAGCTAAAAATAATTGACACTAGTTTTTTGCAGTATAATCCTGGAAAACTGGATCTACGTACTTGGACAAACGTCTAATATTTGACTTGTTTCTCACCCAGCACAGAGAGTCGAGCTGCTCTGCTCTCTCTCATTGCTTCAATGTTACTGGCCACACACACGTAGGCGCCTGAGTGGCTCTTCTCTGTGGGAGCAATGATCAGCTTTCCACTCAACTCCTACAGCAGGAGCAGAGAAAAATACAGGTAACGTTCACGACACAACATTTTTGCTTGTGACACTGGTGTATGTCTGTAATGAAGGGTTTCAGGCATCGAGAGCTTGGTTCAGTTAAGGACTTCAGTGGTCTTTGTAAACACATTTTTTGACTGGCTACTTAAGTAGCTTGACTGGGTACTTAAGTATTTTTAACCAGCTAATGCTAATGTGAAATAAGGAAAAAGGCAGCAGTCAGTTTTTACACTTGCCAACAGAGATAACATTGACACTAGTCTAACTGGACTGTTGAGTCTGTTGTAGTGAATCAGTAGATGTTTTCATTAATTGTATATTTTAAAATGAATAATATGTAATATTAATTTTACATTGTAATGACCTCTGAACAATCTTTTTATCTCCACTCCTTCTCGGTCATTTCAGTTTTACCTGTGCAATAGAAGCAAACATACTACATACTACCAGTGAAATGCAGTACTGAAGGTGTTGATTTAGTAGGAGATGGGTCTTACAGTGTAGTGATGGTCACTGCTATTAATCTGCAAACCGTCCTTTTTCCACATGACGTTTGGTTCAGGGTGTCCATGCGGGGGCTCACAGTTTAAAATGGCTACCTCCCCCTCTGCCACCTCCACATCCGTGGGCTCCACAATAAAGTCCTCCTTCAACCCTGCAACAGCAAAGTCATGGCAAAACACACAGGTTTCAAATCAAACACACAAACAAACAAACAAACAAACAAACAGACATTTGTATATTATTAATTCTGGTTTCTGATCTAATTTGGCATTTTTGTGGAATCCTGATTTTCCTGTATTTCCTTTGGCTCTCCTTTGGTTCTCTTTTCTGCTCAACATCATTAGGAAATCATTGTTCTATACTAAGATAAGCAGGAGACGACAGGGTGACTTTCTACTGTCTCAAAACTACTTCTTAATTAGAATTTTAACTGTGTAAAGGGTAGAAGCAGAGGTGGCAGTTTTCCTTTCGACAGATGGGCTGCTCCAGATGTTTTTTTAAAAAAGTCTAATTTAGGAATGACGATATATTAGACATGATTAACAACACTTGGTATTAATCAGGATTAATCCAAAGCACCACTGTGATTAATCAGATTTAAAGGTTTAATTATATCAGTCTATTATACTTTTTAACTAATCGACCTAGTTGTTCTATTAAGAGACTAAAGATGATTGTAATATACGACATGTGGAATTTAACACCATGTGTGTGTGTTCTTGTCTGTTGTTGACACTGTTAATTCACAAGAATGAGTTCATGTTTGTTATGGAGGTGGCCTGTGCTCTTTATTTATTGATTTGTTCCCTAAGACGCTGGCCAAAGACATGGAGACTGGGATTTAAGTTAAGCAAGCACTCTACGCTGACTGTGGCTGTATATAAGGGTGCGAGTGGTTGTTTGTCCTTTTTTCTGCATGGCCTTACCTGCAATGTGCAGTGATGCGTTACGGCTGGTGGCCTTCCCTGCACTGTTGCTGGCCACACAGGTGTAGATACCCTCGTGTGACTGACCAGGCTTGCCTCCTTCTACACTTACAAAGAAGAGACTACCATCTGGAAAAACCATGGCCTGCCAATGACCATCTCCATTCAGCGATGCCAGTGGCTGGCCATTGTGCAGCCACTCAATGGTTGGCTTGGGGCTGCCGTCTGCTCGGCAGGAGAGAGAGGCAGGGTTCCCAACTTTGACTACCACATCAGAAGGGTGGTGTACGATTCGGGGCGGTATCTCCTCGGCAAGAACCCTAAAACCTGATAGGGATAAATAGGAGATGTTTATGCATACTCATCTCTTTAATTTTCAACTTAAATTTATTTTTATTTTAATAACAACATTACAACTACAACATCATTCCACCCCTTCAGTATTCGTTTAGCTGGCAACCGCTCACCCAAAACAAACAATCTTTAACACAGCTGCCAACAAACTATTTCTATTTGCAGCCAGCAGGAGTGGAATGCCATTGTCTAAGTTTCCCATGAAGTTGGATTCTATGCTAAAGGAAACTGGAAGACTGTGATCAGCTTCCTGATAGGAGAGGAGGTTCGAAGGTCTCAGGAACATCAGCCACAACAAAAGCTGCCTGGAACTCCCCCAACAGCACATCCGCAAAGAACAAAAGGCCTTTCAGGAGGAATTTTACTCCAAAATGCCCGTTAATGACAGATTTATACGTTAGGTTACATCCCTGTTGTGTCAACAATGCTTGGGTGCTTAAATGTAGCATATTGGGAACATGTTGAGATGTCATAAATTTAAAATAGTTGCCCTGTCTGTTCATTTATTCTCTGAAAAAAAAAAGTCAGATAACAACCAACAATGACCTCTTCAACCTCATGGTCATTTTGTTTCTCCACATAATGGCAGCATTTGTCCATGTGAAGATAGAGGATGCTTTTAGTCTACAAAAATGCATTAATGTGATGTGTGATGTAGAATTTAAATGGTGTTTAGTCTGTGAAAATTCAAAGTGGAATACAACGCTGTGATGCAACTCGGGCTCAAGATCTTTAGTATTAAATATGAATTTAATCCCATCGAATACACATAGAAGTTGAGGTTAGACTGGCATTTCATTCACTGTAAAACCTGATCAGAATTTCATTTTTAAACTTATCTAAGCTGTATTTGACAATGTAAATTACATTCTAACGTTAACCACAGCCTCAGAAATAAGGTGGTGTAAACTGAGACTACATTGAAAGTATATTTACGTAAAAAAGAAATATAAAATGTCTGAAATAGTCTGTTTAGATTAGTTAAGTGAGGCATATATTTAATAAAACAAACTTACCCGATACAAAAACTCCAAACAACAAGAACAAGTTCAAAAACATATTTGTGCCCATTACTGAAATTTAAAATTAAAGTAAAAGCCTTTCTCTAACACTAAATAAAATTAAAGTAAAAGCCTTTCTCTAACACTTCTCATTCTATTTAGACAAACTTAGTTCAGTATCTTAACGCGAGGATAAAACAACATCTAACTAATTCTCACTGTTTTGTTGGCAGAACAAAACAACCCCTTACAATATATTTTTTTCCAATAACAAGGGAAATATAATAGTAAACTGTCGCATCAGTTATCTCCGCTACGGACGCTCCCCGTTCCATGAACGCAACACCAATGTCAAGGTAAAGTAGTAGTCAGGAGTATTGCGCTTAGGTTTTTTCAAAATAAAAATCATGCACGTGCAATTTTCACTTTACTGCACATTTTCTGTCTCACAGGAGATATATTTTGTGAGATCAATTAAATAAAAACGCTTTGTTTCAACAAATAGATCCTGGTAATGTTGTTTTGTTTAACAAACACGAGCCCTTACTCTTTTAATCTGAAGGCTCTTTTTCGGCGTTTTTCCTTCTTTGAATCGCAATTGACAGACGCACCAAACCCAGAACACCTGAAGTTGGTTGGTATTGGTTTACTTGTTGATTTTTCACGGAGTTTTGTTTGTCACAGCACAGTGTTAGACTGATGAGGCGAAGTCCACGTGCCCACACAGTCTCACCAAAGCTCTGGTGAGTTTTCACACTTACACTGGACATAAACATTAGCAGTTTAGAAATAAAACACCACTGGTAGGAAACATGGCTGATAAAAGAGGAGTTTCCATTAAAATATTATACCAAATACATTTTATATAGTTGATGTCACACAGTATTCTCTCAAATTGCAACACCAACAGAAAATACCTCATACCTAGATATTGTCTCAAAACATATATATATATATGTATATATTTCAGTCAAATAAAAAATGAACTGAATAGAGTACTGTATGTTCTGTACCACGCAACGGTTTGTTACAGCTGTCATCACTTCCTAAAAACAGGAAATTCAGAGTCTGCCTAGTTTCCAAACAATTGAAGGAAATTATGTGTCTTTCTCATCTGGTGTCTGCAAAAGTATTTCTCTCATTATTGTGGCTCTCTGTTTGTAGTATTTGAAACATTCAAAATGTAAAAAAAAAATTAACCATTTACAACATTACAAATTATTTTCTGTAAATTATTCTATTTTTTTGTTTTTACCTCTACAAATGTGGAAATCAAACCATTCCCTCTAAGTGCCATTTATTATTTGTTTTAATTTGTTTGCTGTTTTCTGTTGACTTTTATCTTAATTTGTTTTATGTAATGGTATGGGGTTATAAAATTTACTGAGTTGTTTCCTAGTCACAGAAAAAAGAAGCATCTAAGAAGTAAGTGGACTGCCCTAGTTCATTCCCTCCAATGGCTCTCATAAATAAAGCATTGTTTGGTGAACTCTTCATTGTGAGACTCAGAAAGAGCCGGGGCTAAGTGATGGATGTTTATATTGATCCAACAACTTGGGCTTGATGGCCCCGGCATCGGCCAGCTTTCAGTCGGCAACAAAAGCTTTAGAGAGGATGAAGGATGAGTCCCGGCTAAACACAACTCATGGGAATTCCACTGGGCTGGGATGTGGTGAGGGAAGGAACCTCATTCAGGTTCTGGACCAAAGGTCAGGAGAAGTGTTGGAGCAGGCAAAGAGGGTGGGATGGAGTTAGAAAAAAGAGAAAGAATGTGTCAGCTATAGAGAGGAATGTGATAAAAAGTGACTTCAGAGTCAATTAATTGTGTGAACTGAGTGTGTTTGATCAAGAAATCAGCATCAAAACAGGTCCAACAATGACATGAACTGTTCTGTGACTGTGTCTGGTACACCAACACGTTTCAGTATATATGTTAGCCTACTGTTTTACTGAGTAGAAAAAGCAAATACATACAAATACATTGGGATGTCCCAATGTATTTGTATGCTTGAAAGTAAATACAGCATCATTCTGTTTTTATACAATCTGTGACAAAGACTAAGTACTTCAAGGAATTCACTTTGTGAAAAAGTTATATTTTTATATTTTATAGTAGTCTCATCAACAGGTATCATGTTTGATCCATCCATCCATCCATTTTCATCCGCGTATCCGTTACCGGGTCGCGGGGGCAGCAGTCGCCACCCACATCACATTGCACCGTACCAACCCCCCTAAACCTTCCTGCAGGTGGTGAGTCCACTGGAAGTATCATGTTTGATCTCTTTTTTAATTCTTACAGTACTGTTGTTGTACATTTTAAATATTCAAATAATACATTTGTCATAGTTAATATTATTCAGAGATAACAGAATGTTTTAGATACATTTTGCAAAAATGAGAAAAGTGGTTGGTTGGTGATTGGTTAAAAAAGTTTATTTTAATATTAAATACAAGTTCTAAGAAATTCTCTCTATATTAAATACCTTCTATTTTAATACAGAGGAGTGGAATTTAAACATATTAGTGGGTCACTAGGGATTTTCTGGGCTTGTATGCATTTACACATAATGACAGTTGTAATGGTTATTATTAATGCATTCAAAATGTAACCTTAAGCGATAATCAAATAAATTGTGTCAACTTTCATGCACAGTGTAGTCATTCTCCAGCAATAAAAAATTCTATTAGTTGTTGTTAAAAACTGTTACATTGTTAAATCTGTCAAATCTATTAATTATTATTGTGTTAATATATATTGGATTTGCATCAGTTTATTATGTATTTTTTCTATATGGTGTATTAGTAAGGGTTGGTGAGACTCCAGTATTGGAAGTAAATGTTAACAGAACAGAAGGGTTAGAAAAAGTACTTTAGATTAATTCCTTTACTATCGGAAATATATTACATTTTAACAATTACATTGGTAAAATACCTACACTCTGCTGTTTTGTTAAGTTTGTCAAGATATTTGCACAGGTATCTATCCTTACACTCACTTATACAGGCCTAATACATACATCAGGGTATGCAGGGATGCATACATCAAGACTCACCTTTTCTTCGAGGTGGCCTCTGTTTCTGGTGTTGTTGTCTGAAGTTGTGACGGACATGCTCCTTGACCCGGGTCTTTGACCTTCTGTCCTGGCCTGACTCTGATGGACAGTTGTCCTGGCTTCTGCACTTTGGTGAGTACGCTGCACAGGTGCAGAGCCAGGATGCACAGAGGAGCCATGCACTAACCCGCATCTTTATTCCAGAAGTCAATGCCTTAAAGATGCAGAACCTTTACTACAGCTTCTATAAATATTCCATACCATCAGGAAGTTCAGCTTGTCTCCTCTGGTTGTTACTTAGAACCCTGTCATACCCTGTGTTGTCTGCATATTCCTTAATCATGGCTGTGGTCTCCTCGTCCTTCCAGCTTTAATTTGGCTGCTCTTGGTCTGGTCTCCTCATCACCCTCCTCCATGGGTCCTTTTTTCAGAGGAGGGAGACGTTTGAGGGTAGTTTGGGGAGGGGGCGATCAAAAACAAGATTCAGACCTCATGCTGGGTGTATAGTGAGGGGAAGGGCACCAAGGGGTACTGTCTTGTCTGTTGCCATTTATTCTGCATGGGACTAGGGGGTTGGGGATGTAACACAAGAGAGCCTTGTTTCCTAAAGTCAGATCAACTAAATTAATCAAACGTTGACCAAGTCATCCACCTTTTCAGTTATACCTCTTATAGTGAAATTCTACATCAAATACATTTTTTGATGAATTGATTTAATTATTCACACTAGAACATATACGTTTCATTCTGCAAGAAAATCAGATGGATGTGATGCCCCCACCCTCTTCATCCCCCACCATCTCCCCTCTCACGTACTACCCATAACCACCCACTAGTTAACTAGCCAGGGAAATTTGTAGCTGTCTGTCTGCACAGTATGAGTCTCATACATCATCTTGGCTGAACCCTAAGGAAGTGTAAAAGAATAGTGGACCTTGTCACAGTGACCTGAAACAAAGTCACTGTATATACAGTGTATAGCCGTTGCATCTGTAAAATTAAAAAAAAAAAACATTTTAGGTCAGGTCAAGTGTCAACCCTACTGACCAATTTTCTATGTTTTAACAATTACGATGCATAGGTTTATAGGAGACTGGGGTCTTGTCCCACCCCTCTGGCATATTTCATATAATGATGCTCACTAAAAATGCATAGGTTCAAAGAATTCGTGACAGCTTTTAATTTATTCACACTGAAATATAACACCATCCAACTTTGACAGAATCATTTCAAAGTAATTATAAAAAATATTTCATTTGTTAAATTCAGTATGAGGTTATTTTGGTACCTATAGTGATGTTACCATGAAATATATTCAGTTTGTGTTTCCTTTGGAACTTATGACTTTCAAACTTCCTTCTGTAACACTTTTGACAGTCAAGCATCTGATAGAAAACTATTTAGAATAAACTCCCCTGGAGGACCTAACACTAAATTAGAGTCCTCCTTGACAATTATTGTAGACAGTTTACAGTACTTCGACAAAGTCAGAAGGTTTGTGTTTTTGCTCATTATTCTAAGAATAGGTTGATTGGACCATGCTGTAGATCAGGCCTGTTGAGATGGAGTTACAATTCTGAACACAACATCCCTCCTGTGGATTTCTTATGGCACCTCCTGCAGATTAACAACATGGACATTTGAGATAGACTTTTGGAGAAAGCACAAATGTGGATGCGATGTTGAAGGGTTGTTTTTTTCTTAGTATTGACATATGTTGGCATTTTTACTTTGTATGTGGTGAACTTGACAAACGTTACATTAAGTGTCAGCACAGGCCACTCTGACCACCCATCTTCAACCATTGTGACCATGGCCTTTGATCAGTGTCGCTGCTGCTTTCTCTAAGCTTGTCCAGCACTTAATCATGTCTTCAGCACTGTCAAACTGGAACCCCCATTGGGTCAGCTGTGGCTTGCCTGCAGGGGTGCCTTGTCCAAGATGTTCAAATCGACTGGTGAGCAACCTGACCTTTAATCTGGACCTTTATCATATGTTGGCGAGGCACAGCTTAAGAGTAAATCTTCCCAGAGAGAGAGAGAGAGAGAGAGAGAGAAACAGAGACACAGAGACAACCACCATCTCAGTTTGAGGAACTTACCCCCTGGTGTGCGTTTCCATGAAAGTAGCCCCCATATACTGATATGCATTATGCAGATCAGACAAAAAGCAGGTCTGAAAAGATATCAATCCAAAATGTGTTTGTTTCTCCCGACAAATCCACTTTTTCCATTGTCATGCGTCGTCACACTTAATAATGTGTCTATCTATTCGTGACAAAAGGTCACCTAACCAAATATCCACTAACAGGTTCTGAAGTCCTGTATCTAAGTTTTAACTCGACCTTATTTTCAAAGAGCACTATGCAGGGTTTATTTGCCAAACATTTTAAAGGCACAGCTAATATTGGCATCTGCTTGATTTAACATGAACTAAGTGACATTCTTTGGGGATAAGTGCCCCGACTTTGCCCAAATCCTAAGTGGATTTCCACTGATGTGGGGTCTGCGTGGGATGGTGACGGTATCCATATCACAAACAGAGGGCGAGGAGGCTGTGGTTGTGAATGGAAAAGCAGAAGTTCTGCTTGAATGCATCTGAATGCAGGATCTACCAGAGAGGCGCACACCCCGCTCCCCTCAGCAGCTTCAGAGCTGAGCTCCCTGAGCTTTCTGCTCACACCTCTTTGCCCTCGCATTGCTCTCTCTTTCTCTTCCTCTCCCGCCCCCATCTCTTTATATGTCCAGCTGGCTGTGCTACAAAGACGCCAGCTCCCAGCTCCAAATGATCCTCATACCCCCACATGCTTTGTTCTGCTCATTTTCCCACTCCCCAGAGACAGACTTTAGGAGCAAAAGATAAAATGAGGAAAAGGATAGAGGGAGCAAGGAAGGATGGGGGAGAAATTACAAAGGTAAGGAAGTGTGGGAGAATGTGTGAAAAAGAGATGGAGAAGATCTTCGTATTTCAGGGAGTCCACATGCTTTGAGTTCAAGAATGCCAGGCAAACATTTCACAAACAGTTTTGCACTTTCTTTATATAGAAAACTCTACAGAGAAGAGGGTGGTTACTGGAATTTCAGGTGAACTGTCTTTACTCTCAGTGGTCTTTGAGCCACTGGCATTTCGGGGTCAGTTACAGCAGGGGCTAAGATCATGTGTTTCTGTAATCATGCGGTCAATTACAGGCAACAAGTCGCATCAGGTTCAAATGGATTGGATTACCTAGCCTACTCTGTTGAAATCGTCCAGTTTCCCAGCTTGTGTGAAATTATGTGGTGGATTGTTGTGCAGAAAAAGCCACAGTATGGAGATGTGGGCCGGAACTAATAGGATTGGTTTTGATTCATTAGATTCTCTTTCATCATCCTGGTTGGAATTCCACTCCACGTCTCCTTGGGCTTCACACTTTTAAAATGGGAGTAGGCGGGGGCGGAAAGTGTTTATAATTGGGCCTCTAGACTGCAAAAGCTCATTACTCTCTATGGAATCATCTGCTCTATGGAATCATCTCCTCCATGGAATCAGCATCAGGATGTATGAATGTAGCACTGTGTTTGTCAGAAATAATGACAAGACAATGTGGAGTGGAATTCAGTGGCTGGCAGAAATGTGAAACCAAAACATGTGAAACAATGCAGGGAAGAAAAAACACAATGGTTGTGTATAGAATGAAAATAGTGTCTCTAAATGATTTTATACTTCAAGAGTGAATGTATAATTCCATGCCATGTATCTTCCAACTTGTGTTTTGCTTGCTTTAACAACCCAAATGTAAATGGTGCTGTATGCAATGTTATGCACCAGTTCTTTTTAGATGTTTCAAGCTGTTAATATTTAATCATGAAATAAGAACGAGTCACAATCTCAAACTTCACGGTGTATGTTGGCTTTATCGGAGCCAACTGCTACTTTATTCATGAGTTTTATTAAAATTTGTGATATGAAATGAATGTGTGCCTTGAAAAACCTCTTCAGATTTGTCCAAAAACTCTTGAAAGTAATTGAGAGTGAGACTGAGGTGTGGAGAGATATGAGACTGTGAACTCATCTCTGCCACCTCTGACTTAACATTTTGTGGTTCAGACAGTGCTGCTGTGTACAAACCTCAAATCACAGCAGGTCTTTTTAGTGTTTTAGACTCAGTCCTGCTGCTACCCTTCTGTCAAACATCATTTTGCTTCTATGTGTTTTCACAGTCTTCTTCACCTCTTTTCTGCACTTTCATTACTGTGGACTGTTGATCCTAAGTCTATGAACTATTTCATCTTTTCTTCTTCTATACTTGCAGATTGCATCTCATTATCACGAACTGGATTGTGCTTTTATTTCCCTTTTTTTTCAGTGTGGCCCTCTGTTCCCCCCAGGTTCTCGTCAACATGGTCCTAACACACACCCGTATCCCAAAAAACATTCAAAAGTACCATTTACCGTTAATGAATCAATGTAGTCAAATTGTAGATTTTTTTCGAATTATTAATTGTACAGTAAGTTTATTATTATATAATTGTCCAGATATTTCAATTTTGCATATTGCAATGCTTCTTCCCATTGCAGAGGGCATGAGAAAATAATATTGCCTGAATAGTCTCAAAACAGGAGCAACAATATAAATATATAAAATCTTATAAAAATGAAAAGTCGGTTTATAGAAAGTTGTTTAATCCCTTACAAACACACACATTAAAAACTCTTCATTTAATCACTTCACATCACCAAACACAGTTAAACAGTCTGGATTGAGCATTCAGTCCAGCACAGCACCCAGGTCCCTGCTGCTCATGTTTGGGTTTTTTCTATGGTCTATTTCCACATGATGCTGTGGCCCTGCTGCCAGGCCCTGTTTGTCTTTACTTGTATACACGATCCCGGTGCCAGCTCTTACTCTGGCTGTTCTACTGTGTTCTTAAGGCCTTGGCATAGACCGGCTCCAGGAAGTGAAAGGGAAGCAGCATGAAGAACATCACCAGAAAGACAGCGCTTGTCACTGCCAGCAGCACGTAACGGCCGATAAACAAAGTGTCCACTATCTGTGGGGGAAGAAAAGGGACGATCAGTTTAGTGTTGGTGGGTTCTTCATTTCTACACACAGAAACAGTAAACACTGTCAACGGCCCAATATGTGCCATGAAGTAATACAGTACAGTAATTCCTCTGTTCACCACAAGATGGAGTGAAAGAGCTTCAATAGAGGCAGTAAGGCTGTCAGTCTTGTAGAGTTCATCCAAAAAGTAAAAAAAAAAAAAGTTTGCTTGTGCTCCGCATTTTTTTCTTCAAATGTTAGAACTTTATTTAAAAGCAAGAGTGTATATGTAGATATTTTCACAGTATTGGAATTCCACTGTTGAAATATCTAGAAAGAGGAACAAATAGGACATCTTTTAGACATCACTGTGTTAGTATCATTGTCTGAAAGACCTGTTATTTAAAATTGCCGAATTAACTTTGAATGAAGAATGTAAATGGAAATGTCCGGATTTGCCTTAAATGCAGTAAATGATCAATTCTTTCTCTTTGGCCCAGTACCCAATGACCCATGGACGGTTCGGGGGCCTCTGCAGTAGTTTATCTTTGACTCATACTTGGCAAGAAATGTCATCATCATCATCAACCTGCTATTGAAGGCGTAAGAAGTCTTTCAACCTCTCGATCAGCCATCTGTAGATTTTTGTTTTTGTTACATTTCTTCTGCCACAAAAATGAAATGCAGTGACAGAAAAAAATGGCTAAAGGAAAAAAACAATAAAGATACAAATGATTTGGAGCAGGGAAAAAATCAGATGTTCCTTTTCACAATCACTGAGAGAACAAAAATTTAAATTTCAGTTATCTCTTTTACAGTAAAAGTTACTTGCAAAGAGTAGTAAAAGAAGAAAGGTTTTTACTACTGACTAGTCAATAAAATTTTAAGGACTCCATCAGTATTTGGCAGTGAAGTTTGGTGAAAGTACACTTTATTTTATCTGTTTGAACCCCTCTACTGTTTAAAGCAACCATTCTGCAAAGACAAAGAATCTGAATCTGCAAAGACAAAGTGAGAAAAGATTCCGAAGCTACACAAGAAAAACAGCAGCTTTGGTGCTGACTTAAGTGAGATTTTACTGGAACTGCTGTGTTGACTGAGTGCAGTATGTGTGTGTATGAAGCCACTGGTGTCTATGGGAGACTAGGATGTTTAGTGTGTACTCTCTTATGGATGCATTTAACGTGTCTCACTTTTTAATTTGCCAATTATGTTGTAAGCAGGAATCCAAGGTGTGAGCCATGTTTTATTAATGTGCAACTGAGCGCACAGTGGGGTGTAGGCAAGTGGAGAAGTGGAGGGGGCATAGAAGGGGTGAGAGTGGGGATTCCACTATAAGCCACACCCCTGCTGGCATTGTTTAGAATCGTGTGTAAAGCAGATCTAGGAGTAATGATGATTATTCTGATATTACTTAGATATTTTTTCAGATTTTTATTTCTTCTTAAATAACTAATTCTATCCTCACATAATAAAAGGGTTCATTTAATTCCCAAGCTTCATGCAGAAATCCAAGAGGTCACATTTTGCCTGATGCTGGTGTCTGTCTTTGCACAAAGGCTATAAAACGTGAGCTGACCAGGATGGGGCTCTGCTCTGCTATTTCTATGGGATGGCAGCTTGCCTGGCAGATCTGTGTGGCTTACTGGCACAACCCTGAGGCAACATGGGGGAGGTGTTTGTTCTGTGTCGCTGTTGGACCAAGATAAAGCAGAAAAAGCCTATACGACAAACAATCACACGCACAGACATCACACATGCACACACAGACATAGTGATAGGTGCATGTACAGACATAGAGTACAGCAACTAGTGTTAAAGTGCATTCATTATTCATCTTCTAACACAGTTTGCCAGTCTATCACAAGGCCACACAAGAGAGAGAAAATAATTCCACCCTAATAGTCATATCTGAGGCTGATTAAATTTAACAACTAATAATAATAACTCATTGCACGTTTATTACACTACGTTATATTTGGGGATACAATCCCAAGTCCAAGTTCCATAAAATAGTTACAATAGTTAATCAGTCAGGTTAAAAAATAACTTATTGATTAAACAATTAATATAAACCCCAAACTGTACTGAATGTGTTTACAAAGTTGAAAACCCACGCACAGGTTACAACAAAAACTCACCTCTATCTCTTTGACGGTAGGTGTTGTCTCTGGACTGCGAGGGAAAAACACTAGGGCCAGTGTGATGGTTAGGGCTAGGAGAAAAACAGGAATGATTCCCAACCTGTTCAGACAAAAACACAGTAGGACAGAAAAAAATAAAAACCGTGCATTTATGCAAACATTATTCTATTGTGCTCGGAATGGTGCACAGTATTTCCTATCTGTAAGCAACTGGTATATAAATAAGACGTCGCTGAAATGAAGCTATGATGTTAAATAAATGCTAAGTTTGGTTGGCTAGTAAAATCAGTGGATGACACTCTACTGAAATAGGTGGACTTTTTGATACAGGATGAACACACTACAGCATTTCAAGGACCAGGATTCGCACTGGTGAAATACGGTCACAAGCCACACCTGAACTGCGGTTCAGGAATTCCATACAAAACCGTATTACTATCAACTATTTGCGAGTTTAGAGTTTCTGGTCGAGTTGTAATCCGGACGATGATTGAACCAAAATAATATAAAAAAAGGAAAAGTTCAACGTTTATTGGCACTGACAAACCTCTGCACCGTCAAGTGGGGGTGAATTTGAGTGCGTGTGTGTGTGTGTTGGTGGTGTGTTCTCACTCACTTCGCCGATCCCGATGCTCTCAGCAGCATCGTCCCAAAAACAAGCGCCACAATCCAAACGACTCCAACGACAAAAACTCCCGAACCGACCTCCAACACGGTACCGGCCATTGTTGCTTCGTACGAGGAGTAGACGGAACGAAAAACTTATATATTACGGCTGATGTGAATGCAACATAGGAGTAAAGAAGCAACTTCAAATGCTAACGGTAAGTAGATCCATTGCACGCGGGGTTTTATAGTTATTTTGCATTCGAAACGATTCGAAATAGTTGTTTTTATGCATATTTATCGTCACGCAGTTACAAACTGTCACAAAAGTATAAGTCAAACAACAAGAATCTGAAATTGTTAGTAAAGCTTTATTCTAAGGCGCCCTGTGTTCCTGGTTACAGCAACACGTGACGTGATTGGGAGGTCTAAATCCGACATGAGCCAATTAGAGATGTCCTTACTGAAAAGCTCCACCTATGAAACGTGTAGCCAATGAGGAGTTGCTTTTCCGTTTCAGTAAATTAAAACAAATATTGACAACACAAATAATGACGCACAATTAGCCCATGGCTTATATATAATAAATATATCATAAATATGTTTCTACATATTTTTGTTCCTCTATGTTGAGTTTTACTGACTATTCTTTGCTTGGTTCCTTGTACCCCAATGTAATACTTAACTTAGTCATTAGATATCATATTATTCAATGTATTTAGTTGATTCACAACGAAAGACTTTCCATAAAAAAAGGAAATCTGTTATATATATATATTTAAACACAGCATTTATATAACATACTTTAAATTTTATTCTATATTTGTTTCGGTTAATCTTCGCTTTGTCTGTAAACTGCTGTTCAATAACTTAACAATGCAACATTGGATACAAGGGATGTTACCATTAAAATAGCATAATTAAGTTTTTAGATAGTTCAAGGACATATTACTTGTTGTTTTTTTAAAACAATGATAAAACGCTTTTTTTAACCTATTTTGTTCCATATTTATGGACTGTAACAACCGTACCACTTAATTTATGCGTTCAATCCCTACTCTGTTGTCTCTCTTATATCGGTTTCTGTTTAATGGCTTATTTTAAGCTTTACCTTATACTTTCCTGTTAATGTTCGTATATCCGTCTCGTCTGTTAATAGCTTGTAGTTATCAAAGTGCGCCGACAGAGGGCTGGCCAGACCTGCGTGCGTGTAGTTTTGTGGTGGTGCGTTTACTTGAAGAGAGACTTTAAGTAGACGGCGTTTGCATTTACGAGCGTTTATGGATGAGTTGGAGGCTTAGAAAACGCTTTAAAGCAGGAGGGTAGATGTGAATAAAAATAGGATTTTCGGTGCACACGTTCAGTGATAAAGTAAAGATAAATTAAACAGCAAAATTAACTTCATTGGAATTTTCTATATTTGTTAATATACCGTATTTTTGAATTGAGTTAATGTAAATTATTGTAATACTCCATTAGGTTTCTTGTCCTGATCCGTATAAAATCCAAAACAATATGAGCAAATCATATAGATGAAGCAAACCATATAGATGAATGGTGTATGAATATGTGACATTCTCACTATTGTCACTATTTATTCTCTTCTTCCAGGTTGTGTTTTCTTTTGCTTAAACACAATTCAGTAATAATTATTTTTCTGTCATTTACTTTGTACAGTATCACTATGGATGATCAGTATGAGTGGTGAAGGTCCTACCACTTCTGTTCAAGCATGTTCTAATGGACTATATGCTAGCCTTCAGGTACTATTATTATTATTATTATTATTATTATGAATTATTATCAATCATTAATTCATGTTTTGTAATAATGTGTTAAACATTTCCTGTTGATATTTATTTATTTTTCTAAATTTGTATTTGTTTGTGGCATCTTGTTTATGGATTAGCTAACAATGGCATGTTAACAGTAAAGACCAATCATCATTGTCCCAAATAAAACCAAATACATTTGTAATGTGTTGTTGTTGTCCATTCTTCACTTGATTATTGTAAAACACTGTGATCCAACATGGCAGTCCATTTATTATAAATCTAATATATATATATATTATTGGGGGGTTGAAATACTTAGAAAGCACTTTGAGTATTTACAATTATTTAATATTAAATTATGTCAATTTAATAAGTACCATCACCCAAATGTTTTAGTGTACTTAAAGGAAATTATTTGGTGAGATGTTTTTGTTTTGTTTTTTTCGTATTTTTGAGGTTGCTGGTTTTTACTTTTAGCTTGTTTCAAACAATACATTTAACAATAGCTTTTATCGCGATTGGGATTGCTAATAAGTTTTAGTGTTTCATCTAAAAAACGTGAAGGATGCACTGTTATTTATGCTCCCCACAAAATTCACATCCTGCCTTTCAGGTTGACGTGGTGCCCCCGTCTGCCCCCCACCCCCCTTTTATATAGTGATTGCTGTATTTCCCACGGACACTGGAAGGCATCAGTGGGCCCAGCGCTGGGGAAAAAACGGGGGGAGCTGGAAGATGGAGCCTGATGTGGGAGGGGCCAGGCATGGTTGACGTCAGCGGCTGTGTGGAGGAGTATAGGCTGTGCTGTCAGCCCAGTGTCAGTCTGATGAAGATTGGCATGCAGGTAAGCTGTCATTCATTTTCAATGTCAGTGCATGGGAGCAGGGCTTTTCCACTTCAGCGTCCCTCTACCCCGCTCTCCCCCACTCCTCCCTTCTCTCCCCTTCTCTCTCTCTCTCTCCCTCCCTCCCCATCACTTCATTACAAAAAGCAGGACATTATTCATACAGTCAGACAGGCAGCAGGGCCAGAGAGAGAAAGAGAGAGAGGGAGAGAGAGGGAGGGAGACAAGGAGGGAGGGATGGGGAAGGAGAGGAGGGGGAGAAAAAGACAGAGTGAGACCAGACGAGATGCATTTTGTTGCTGGACTGAAAGACCAGTGGATTTTTGTTGTTGTTCTTTTTGTCTTTTGCTCGATGCAGCGTTGGGATTTTTGCAGGGTAAAATGTGTCGGTGATGTTTGTGACGCGTCGTTTGTGGAGGATGTGATGCTTTTGTGCCAAACCTTTGTCATATTTAGAGGCTGGTCGCAATAATATTAATAATGAGAACCACATTAAAGTAGCACGATTGGACAGCACGCGTGGCTACAGGAAGCTGCTGCTGTCCTTGCTGCTGTTTCTGGCGTTTTATTTTGGCACTAGCGTGTCGCCAATGTCACACGCACGTGTGTGTTATTTATGATATGAACGCGACGATCGCGTAATGGTGCGAGTCGGCCGCGTTTTGCGCTGCTGCGATTTGGTTTCGTTAAATGCCGTGAACTGTGCTTTTATTTTGACAGATAAAATCAGTGCGTTTTTGTTTGATAAATAGACCCATTAATAAATTAATTATTTGATAGACAGAGGTTTTGTAGCTTTTTGCCAAAAAAATATTTAGGTATGTTTTGTCTCTGTGTGAAACATTTCTGACGTCTGTTCATATTAAACATATTTTGTAATCTAACTTTTATATTTTATAGTATTTTTTCTGCCAGCCCCTTTTAAGTCCAACTGTCTTACATACAGAACTTAAATCTTGTTTAAAGTCATCAAAAAGGTCAGACACGGTCTTTGTGTCTCTATGAATACCTCTTCACCTTTAATTGGCATGCGTCTTTCTAAAACGGTCAGCATCTCAGTGAGGGTCTACTGTTTACTCTAAGCTTCCCCTGCCCAGCAAATGCTGTCCAGCAGTGTGAACACTGGCCTCCTTTGTGCGCTGCCCACTCACCGCTCTCTTTTTCAGTTGACCGGTTTATTCCACAATTGCTCAAATGACTGTTTTACCCTTAAAGGACACAGTGTAATTCCAGGCAGCCGGCCTCTCTCTGAATCCCCCGAAGGCCGAGTTCTATTTGACCTTAATGATTTTGCAGTTTAAAAGACATACACTTACAGCCGCTGTTTAAATAGCCGTCTTCACTTACTCATCTGGTCAGTCACTGTCACATGCTGTTAGCTATTATTTCTTATAAATGCATGCCGTACATTTGAAATACAAATGTGTTTGGAAATTCATCTTTTTTATGGCAAATGTCTTGTCCATGTTGCAAAACTAGAACTAGACAGGTCAAAAATAAACAGGTAAGCTGTAGTTTTATCTGCAGTGATTTAAATACTCTGAAAAAAGTTAGTTCCAAAAATGTGTTGTCTTTTAGTAAAAAAACAAAGGCAGTTTAAAAAATTTAACTTTACAATTTTCCAACCATCAGTGTGCTTTCTGGCTGTCTGTGCTAGAATGTTTCTGGGATACACTATAAAGATTTAGGAAGTCTGAACAAGGGGGCAACATTAGCCCAATTAAATATGCCCGAACCATTTGTTTACTAATCATCTGCTTCCCTGAGAAACCACAATGGTGTTTTAGACCACTTCAGCTCCCTCCATTCGGCAGGTGCAGAATGCTGAGTGTGAAATCCCACACGGAGCCAAACTGTGAAAGTAAAAGCTCTGAAAGAAACTGTTGTTTTTGTGAGCCAGACCAAAGGAGGCCCTGTCACCTTTTACACCATTCAAGTGAACCACTGTCCTTGTCTTAAGGTCCATGAATTGACTGGGAATTGATTTTCGCATGCGGGCACGATACAGCGCTTCGCTACCAGTCACCCTCGGTGTTTGTTCTTTTTTCTGATGTAGCCCACATGACTCCACATATTGTCAGATAAGGACAACACCAATTTAGCTCATCCCCAAACCCTGCTGAGATCTTAATTGATGATTTGTTTCATTGGACAAAAAGCCTAGGGGCGTATTTGGTGCTGCAAAATACTCTGACACTATTTGCATATTCCCATTCCTACTGCACAAGTAAATTACACGACGAGGTGTGATGCTGTGCATTCCAGCAGCTTTTGAGGGGATAATCACTAATAAAGTGATTCAGTCACACCAAATGAAGGAAGTAAACAGAGCGAGGAGAGCATATGTTACAAACCAATTTAAGCATTTATGTATGACCATAAAGCAATTGAGGAAATTAAGCCACATGCAGATGTCTTGCTATCCTTTGTTTTTGCCTCTACTTCCTCTCTAAATGTTGCTGGAGAAAGAAAAGCGTCTTAAATGCCATTTTAGGACAAGGTCATGGAGGGCACCATAATATGTTGATTAATTACTAATTTTGCCATCATAGAAACATTGCAGAGACATACAGATGTATGTTATGTAAATCAGATTCAACACCTTTTAATATTACATTTACCATAATATTATACTGGGGAAAACTCAGATGCATAACATACTATTGCGTTGCTTGTATTTTAACATTGCACAGATAAAGTGGTAGTGTGCCGTCTCTTGTATCTGGTGGCTAGTTCGGTTCAATCCCAGGATAGCACCTGTATTAGACTCTTTAGTCTGTTTTAGACAGATCAAGTGGCAGGCCAACATCTCGGTCCAACCTGGAAGTGAGCACAGTGGGGGCAGGTCTCACCTTATTGCTATGATACATGTTTGAGGGCACTCAGGACAGCACTCTTATTGAGAGAGCTTGCACATGAGAGTAGTTGATCTGAAGCTAGTTGTAGCACACCGCCACAGAGCATTGAGCAAACTTAGCACAGTGATGAGTCTGTCCTAAGTCACAGTACACATGATGTATACAGTAGCTGATATTCCTACACTGCTTTTGAGTTGGATCTTGAAGCATAAATTATATTCACTTAAAAATGCAGTTTTATTTCTGTGATTTCTAGTAATATAAATATACTATTGAGAAATACACAATATTCAGGCTATTTGTTTGTATGTGCAGCTCAAATCTTTATTTTATATAACACAAATATTTTCTATAAAAAAATCACACAGAAGGAACAGAGGGTTTTAACAATGTTCAAAACAATTTAGCCTACTGAGAATCCCTAGCAGAGTGGATTTAGGTCATGTCTAAAGTTATGTTGACCAGTTCTCTCCCTTTTGACTAATACAGAATTTCTAAGACATTTGTTTCTTACTTGCATGCCTTGTCCGTGTCTGGGTCCCCACAAGTGGTGCCCAGTAAGCCCACTTGATCCCCTCTGCTCTCGGGACACGGTGGAGGCCTGCGTATTCCGTCAGACGGCCCAGCTTAAGCACAGCCCTTCAATGCTTACCCTTGCTCATTTCAAAGCCAGTGCTGCATTGGCATGACTCTAGTGAGCCATCAGGGAGCTGGGTCAGGGGGTGGGTGAGAACGATGGATTGGCTTGATTTATGCTGCGAGAGGAGCAGCAGGCAAATTTAATGATCCTCTATACTGTCAACATCACGGGCGCTTTGTTTTCTCGAGCACGTAGCGGTATCTTGAAAATGCATGCAGCACAGAGCTGCAACGCTGTGGTTAGAAAGTTTGAAATTTGCACTCAGTCCGTGTCTGGGCTGAAACATTTATAGGAGACTTTCTTTAACAAATGACCTGTTAATATATATATGTCCAATGTTTACTGATGTTTCTCTTTGAAAAAAAATGTTATAATTTTAATTTTTTATTTTTACTGATGTTTCTCTTTGAAAAAAAAAGTTATAATTTTAATTTTTTTATTATAATAATACAATAACAATAACAATAATTTTATTGTTAAGTATAGTTGTACGTAATGCAAACATGCAGAACAATCTATGTTCTGTCAGATCGATCCTAATGAGCATGTTATTTTTCAAAACTTTGTACTCTAGGGCAAATCCCATTCTGTGCTGGTGCACTGAGTGATTACAGCAGCTTGTTTCCCAATAAGTTTCTGCTCATTAAATAGTCCTGTGTTTGAAAAGTGCATATTATTCCTGCGTATAGTTCTGAGTGATTGATTGGACAGACTTGTGTTGCAGACGGCCCTCAAACAAACTTTCACGAATGCTCCACTTCACACAATTACACGAGATGAGCGGGTGAACAATGAATGTCACAGCATGGAGGAAGTCATACAAAGGCTTTAGCCATTAGGTAATGATTTTAGCATCAGTACTCTGATTGCCTTCCTTTTTCAGCCAGAGGAAATGAAAACCCAGCAGGAACACATTCCATAAACCGAGTCGAAGTTGCAGCGTAAAAAGCGAAGTCGAATGCGGCACTGTTGTTTCAGCAGCAGCACGCACTTGCAGATGCAGCGTTCGCTGAAGCTTGAAAATACCTCAACGTTAAGTAAGAAAGTAAAAAAAGTCAACTTATTCATCGGGATGCTAAGATGCTACCATTTGTCCAAATTCTTAAGGCTCTAGAACCATATTTTATTTGCAGTACATGTGCAGTTTTAATTGCTGTGATATATTTTTGGAAAAATCATTGAACAGGTTAAAATAGTCTTCAAAAATCTGTTCTCACAGAAACATGAATTTTCTTTTTTTTTTTGCACACACTGTTTATATACTTGAATGTAAGTCTTTCTAAGTGACGGTGTGTTTGATTAAACATGAGGAATGAGTGAAGACAATATTTCCATTTTATGGAAGTAATAACTGCCAATTTACACACTTGTTGATGAGTATCTGCTGTGTTGTAACGTTAACGATCAAAGGTGTCAAAACACAGAGTGGAAAACGCAAAGCATTGATTTGTAAGCGACTCGGCTCGTTGTTTTTTGCCTTACAGATATCTGTCACTAACATC